CGTTACTTTCAACGCCGTTACTCCCATCACTGTTTATTTGACAGTATGCAGAGAGCAAATGGAGTTAAAGACAAGAGAAGACATAGGGCAAAGACTCAGAACAAAGGGCATTACTCAGAACAATGGTTGAGGTCTAATGTTCCCATTAAGCACCCCCCCAAGGAAATATTTAAGTGTTCTTGCCTTGAACGGTTGAAAATACTGATTAGTTTCTCTTCTGTATTTCATTTGGTTCTGTTCTAAATGTTTCAGACTTTCCCTCAAAGTGATACAGCTGATAGATCATGAAATGACGTGTTCTAAAATACACAAATAATACAAAGACACACGTAAAGGTAGTTTATTTACCGATCTTAAAGAATATAATTCAACTCTAATACATTTTTACAAACAAAAATGATAGATGTTTGCAATAAAAAAACACATACATTTAGTGAAATCTAACTGTGAAACAGAAAACAAAAAACATGTTTACAGGAAGCCTTATGGAAGCAAAACAGTTTAGCACTGAGAAGGAGATCGTCTTTGACTCCAACTCTTGTCAGCCCTGCATGATGTAGACTAAAGAGGAGAGAGAGGAGGAGGAGAGAAAGGAGGAGCGAGAACAGGAACATACTGTCTGAGCCACACAGCGCTCAGTCTCTTCTCTGAGCTTCGCAGAACAGCTTGTCTTTGCTTTTTTTACTCTTTCACAAGGCTTTTCAAAGAATTTTTGCTTGAACTGACGACATTAAAAGAAGCAGGCAGGGGGACTTATTTTCCTTCTGCACAATGTTACCCTGGAAAAGGAATAAGTTTGTTTTGGTGGAGGAGGATGCCAAAACTAAGCCCAAGAGTCTAGGAACGGGGCTGACCTACCATTCTATCCTCTCGTCTCTATTGCGCTCATGTCCTGACTTGCTCCCTGACTGCCCCTTTGATTGGGTGGGCAGCATCTTCCACACCAAACGTCAGAAGGTGGAACTGAACAAAGAAGAGCCTGTTTACAACGTGCGTTACCTCGGCAGTGTGGTTACCATCACGGCAAAAGGAGAAGGCTGTACCCAGGAGGCGGTGGCCAAGATCTGGGCAAGGAGCAACTATGGGGAGCAGAGTGTCAAGATGAGGTTGATGGTGGGGTCGCAGGGCATACGGATGAGCGCCGACAAATCAGGGAAAAAGAAACCCATCCATCTCTACTCTTTGAACAGAATCACCTACTGCGCAGCTGACTCATGCCGGCCCAAAATCCTGGCTTGGATCTACAGGCACCAGGTGAAGAACATGGCGGTGGTCCTCCGATGTCACGCCGTGCTGGTCAGCAAGTCAGAGAAAGCCCAAGCCATCGCCCTCAGCCTCTACCAGAACGCCACCTCCGCTTTCAGCGAGTTCAAGCGGTTAAAACGTCAGAGTGATTTCCGGCACCGACAGCAGCAGCTTCTGGGCGAGGAAGCGGTGCCCCTGATGCCACTGAGGAGGCTGCTGAACGGGCAGTGCCATTACAGACCACCTGCTGAAACCCCTGGCACCACCACCCGTCTCTGTTCCATCACAGAGGAAGAAGAAGAGGATGAGGAGGAGGAAAAGGAGATTAGAAATAGGAATGAGAAGAAGAAAGAGACTCAGAAGGAGAAGCAGAAGGTTTTGACAACAAACACTGACCCAACTCAGTTACTATCAGAGCTGGACCTTGGGGATATTGCTTGCTTAGAACAATGCCAGATCAACTTTGTCAGCGACAGCAACAACAACACGTTTACATTCATAACCTCTTTGGTGTGACTGTGATGAAATTTAAAGAAAGCAGCTCTCCTACTTAGTAAGACATTCCTCCCTTTGCCCTCCTCCGGTGCCCCACTCAGGCTTCCTCTGTCCACATCTGTGCAATGTGAAGTGTTTGGACCAGAAACTTCTCCCTCTGTCCGTTAGAGGAGACAGCGTGATCCTTCAGTGGAAGCGATTCCTTTTCTTCTCAGACGGCTGATCGTTTTTGCTATAGCAGGTTAGGGAGCTGCTTGTTTACATTTGAGGGCTTGGCAGGGATGCACAGACCGACGACAGCACAATGACGAACGAGGACAGTCGTTAAAGAAAATTCAAGAGCACCAACAGAGCTGAGATAGCCGGCATGGGTCACATGCTGACTGAAGCAGGGGAATTTTCCTACATGTTCTTTTTTTAATGTGAGGAAAGTCAGAATCGGGTTTACCAGCATGGACTTCTAATAGTTTTTCAAGGCGGTTGTTTGTACATTTGTACATTTTTTTCTATTCTGACAATCCTCACTGAAATATTTATCCTACTTTTACTAAAGGTTAATGGACGATTAAGATATAAGGCTGTAATAAGGAGGGAAGCCATTGAGTTGAAATCTATAGTCCTGCCGTTTGTTACAACCCTTTCCATGCATGGACAAGCATTCCATCTGTTTTTCATCCCTGATCCTTTAGCTTTGGAAAGTCAACACTGTGATAAAAATGTACGACCAGGAGCATATCTAGAACCTTTCAAGCACCTCCTTACAGTTTATGTCATGGAGTTTTGATATATTATTATATGATTGTCTTTCTGTGTCATCGTTGCACCGCTTTGGAGTTTCAGAAATGCAATCTTTTTTTTTCCAGAAGCCCTTGCAAAAATGGAGACAGACCCTCAAGACTAAACACAATCTGTTTTCATAGATTAGCTTTCCTAACTGTGCTCCATGTGTGCTAAAATCTCTAGATGCTTTGTGATAAATATGAGATGAAGCTATTTATTTTGAATAAAAGTTGCTCTCACTTGGGTTTCCTTGAATTCTCGGAGGGGAAGCTTTTTTTTTAGACTTTATCAAAGAGAATATTCAGATGAATGCAGTAGCTCTGTGTTTGTATGGTGTACATTTGCATGTTTGTGATGTTAAACGGCCAACCTGTCTGTCAGTGGAAACTCTTGGGGAGTGATTGCAACGTGCATCGTGATTTATATATCGTACATGAATTGAAGAGAGGAAATCGTAAGCTACTGTAAACATTGAGACATGACCTGATTAGAAATTAGACTGAATGTATTATTTTTTTTGAAAACAATACAGTTTTGTATAGTTGACTGTAGAAAAAAGCATAACTTTAAGAGTGAGATAACAATGTTTAAAATTTTAACGCGAAATATATAAATCAAATTAGTTTTAAATGATCTCATGTGGTTTACATCAGTGAAGCAATAGTTGTGTTTTCACTGTTTCTTCTTTATTCTCGCACACCTAATTCGTTATCTCAATCATTGCAACACTCCTAAACCAAAAAAATTATTATTAATGGCACCCATTTGACCGCCTCTAACAATCCTCTTTAGACACACCCCTGCTTCTATTTTCTTTGGGGTAAAAAGGAGAAAAAACTGCTTTATGAGCTTTAAAAGAAAGGATAAAGAGGCAGTTCTAATGCCTCTAGAAAAGAGACGTTGGCTCCAAGCTGTCAGTCACTTTCAATACATGTTAATGTCACTTGATAAATTTCTGTAGGCCTTGTGCTGGCTTTCTATTGCTTAGCCGTGAAGGGTGCAATTAATCAGTGAGGTGAAATGTTGGGAAGTGAACATAAAGGACCTGCCTCAGCAGGACGGTTGTCAACTTCCATGACAGCACCAAGCGATCCGAAACAGGGACGAAAGGAGTTTAATTCACACTCAACCTTTTTTTATTGCAAACATCATCCAATTTAATGAAGGGAGTCTTTAAGCTGACTTACAGAAATAAAGATGAAACTCATACAGTGTATTTATCTGAGGCAAATTTGTGCTGTGCTGTTGTGCCCCTGAGCAGTTTATTAGCGTCAGCAGGGATATATTAATATTTCATATTCCTTACTTCAGCATATCAGCACATATCACAAGACATTAAATGTGTGAACTTATCTGTAAAAAAACAAAACAGAAAAAAAACTAAAAAATGTTTGATTACAGCAATCAAGAAGATGTATGATTTGACATTTCTTCTTAGGAAGGCTACTTTATTTAAAAAAAGGACAAGGTTATGCTTTGTTGATGTTTGAAACAGCGAAAACATGTCTGGTTGCTTGAAATTAAAGAGACAGATTGTTCTGAAGGGATCCTTCACCTGAAAGCTGCCAGATCAATATTTTCTTCTTGTAACACACTGCACTGAAGGAGAAAGGAATCAAAAGAAAGATGAAAAGGGATCTTTTTCCCCTTCTGCCATGAATTTATCCATAACTAAGATAAACAGAGACTTTCTTTCATCCATTTTAATCTTTGTCTCTCAGAAACCTAACCAACATTGTGCTCTCCTGTCAGAAATGCACAACACAACCTGCAAATGTCATACAAACATGATAGGAGTTTGCCAGAGAAGCTGATATTTTATGTTAACATAAATCTCGTCGGGCGAATAAAGCGGAGGAAACAGATGGCAGATCCCAGGTTCATGCTGAGCTTTAACACACCCATCTTCTGGGATAAGAAGGAGCTCAAGCCCAGATTCACAGCTTATGATTTTTAACGATAGCAGCAGCCCACAGAAAGCCCCAATCAAACAGCACTAACGTTGAGTTACATTGCATAACAATGTCATGCTGTGACAGTTCAAAAAGGTGCATATTTTTGTTCTCCTAGCTGCAAACATACATCTGCTGCGCAGCCTCCACATCCTCACGTGGTGTCTATGAAGCTAGACGAGGCACTGAGTGACAGCAATAGGTCCAATTATCCCCATCATGCAGGGAAGAAACGAAATGTTGCCTTCTCTAGCTGCTGGCAGCAGGTACCGCTCTGATTTGTTTCAGTTAGGATTAAGCCCGGGGGGGAAAAACAAAAAAAAAAGCAATCTGTAAGCTGTCCAAGGAAGCACACTGAGGATCAACGAGCTAGCTCAGCAATTGGGCAGATAAAATTAAAGATAAAAATAGAAAAGAATGTCTGCTTTCCGAGTTTGTGTTGCAGACTTGAGGCAAACTTTAACCATTTCTTGCAACAAATATACAGAAATTACTGTTTTGTTCACCCTTCGCCCTATCTTTTGTATGTAAAGAGAATTTTCCCCAGTAAAAAAAGGTCCTGGGTTTGATTCCTGGTCCAGAGTCTTAACACTTGAAGTTGGCATGTTCTCCCAGTGCACGTGTGGGTTCTCTCTGGGTACTCTGACTTCCTTCCACAGTCAAAAAGAATGGCTGCTAGAATGATTGTCATCTCTAAATTGTCCTTAGGTGTGAGTGTGTGTGCATGGTTGTGTGACTCTGTGTTGCCCTGCAATGGACTGGCGACCTGTCCAGGGTGTATCCTGCCTTTCGCCCACATCCTGCTGGAGATCGGCAGTGCCCCCACCATCACCCTGACAAAATAAGTGGGAGAAGATGGACGGAAGGATGTTTGATTACAATAATAAAACGGTGCTGCTGTTTGCAAGTCACCCTATGAAACCTTCCCTCTGAAGCACCTTTAAAAAACAGAAGAGATATATGGACCCAAATTTGGACTAACGTCTCCAGTACCAGGTAGATAAAGACAAATATAAACCTGCATGAGTAAACTAAAATGCCCGCAAAATAAGGCATGGAAAAGAAAGACACATTAAGTAATGATAAGGAACCAGTGAATAGAGCAAATAAGGACCATAACAACCAAATCCTAAAACCCAAGTGTCATGATGTTTTAAAGTTCTGACCCCAAAAATGCAGAAAACCGAACAGAAAGACCAGGTAAAGGTTTAACGGGTTTTATTGAAGTAGTAAACAGGGGGAGAAGTGTTGCTCAGAACACTGCTCAACCGGAACTGCAAAGTGAGGGGAAGACACAGTGGTTAGTTCAGGCTCAGTGGGGAATTTGAATCGTGAAACTTGAAGAGGTTTTGGTTGCAGACTCACGTTTCCAGTGAAGTTGTTGTGTCCTTGACTCCTGTCTGTGTGCTGTGGTTCCAGTGTTGGTCTGATTCGGTGGAGGGCGGAACAGATTTTACCCAAAATGCGGTTGATTGTTGGAGAACAGAGATACTGACTGCCACTCAGATTTCCTGCGGGACTTAAACGGGTCGTTGTGGAGAATAATCCCTTTCTCAGTGAGAAGCTCAAACGATCTCTTGGGGAAAGTGGATCCAAACCTCCTGTTTGAATCCCAGCTCAGTTTAAAGCTCAGTTGATCCTTCCAGGGAGTGAAGGTCCGAGAGATTCAGTTAGCAGGACAACTTCCTGCCAAGAGGCAAAGACAAAACAAAGTTAAACTCAGGTTGACAAAGACTCAGCTTGACTCAGCAAACTCAGCTTGGCTAGAGTACCCTAAACTGGCAAATACTCTGGCGTCGAAGTAGTGGCAGTCAGCGGCTTAAGAACACCCCGTTAAACGAGGAAACCATCCGCAGGTGTGTGAGGAGGCGGACAAGAACCAGGCGCCTCCTGGTGGATGAAGGGAGAAAAACACAGAAAACACAGACACAAAACAGCAGTCCTGACACCAAGGAGAGTGAAAGCTTTTTGGTATTGCTACTGTTGCAGAACGCTTATAAAAAATAAATGCAGTTTTTGTGGTTGTATTTCTTCCTAGTATATAGTTCCCCTACTGTGAAGCACACATCACACTATTCTCAACCTGTTTTCTGTTTCTGTTGTCTTCAGTCATTCACAGCTTTAAGTAAAAACCTCTGCAGCTCATATCTAAGCAAAAGATATTGTATTATAAACAATACCAACTGCACACGGGTTACACAGATGTTTTTGAGCAGTGAGAACATTTTGCTGCACTAAGATACAATGGATAATACAATTTCTTCGCAGCTGTGCACTTACACCACTGCAACAACATTTTGCAAACTGCTGCTCAGATGTTGGAGCAATGAACTGATAAAATTACTTAATCTGGTGGTGAGAGTTACAGATGCTCCTCTGTGCTCTCATACAAGCAAGGCAGATTTATTTATATAACACAGTCAACACAAATATTTAAAGAGAATAAAAATTTACAATTAAAATAATATTATATAAGAAAATATAAAATGGCTGAAAAAAAAAATCAAAGTTGTAGTAAAAAAGTAGCTAATAGTGTTTAGATTGCTCGGTTAAAGGCCACTCTACACAAATATGTTTTTAATCCTGATTTAAAGCAACTTAGGGTTTCAGCAATTTTATACTTTTCTGGGTGTTATTTCCCATTTAGTGGAGCAAATCTAAAAGCTGCTCCCGAATATTTAGTTTTGGGTTTACTGAGTAAATTTGGGGCAGAAAACGTGACAAGTCTGGATGACTTATTTGTCATGTTTTATACAATGTAAAAGCTCTCTGTAAATTACCCAGTTATTAAATGTCTCAGTGTTTGCTGTATCTCTTTTTTTTCAAACATAGTTTCCATCATAATTTGTATTTAAATCCTTTACCTGTTCAGTTTTAAGAGCATTGTGAGCAGCTTGGTCATAATGAAAAAGCGGGACATCCTACCTTTAATGTTAGACTGAAATTACTTTTTTAAAACATACATAGTCCCATGCATTCTAATCTTCATACTTTGGACCTTGTGCTGATTATGTCATTGATTAGATAAAAAAATAAAAAATTTTCACAACTCAGAATCAGAATCAGAGTTGAGTTTATACTTACAAGGAATTTGACTTGGCGACGATGGTACAGACAAATTAGTTATATATACAAAATAAAGAATTTATAGCTATATACTAGGGGTGTTCACGGTTTCTGGTCACGGTTTTTGATTCGGTTCGGTATATGTTGATTGTTACCCCGAAATCCCATAATAATTAATGAAATTAATGAAAAAATCCAAAATAATTAATGAATTAAAAAATTATTTTAAATG